CCTGCAGGGGGAGGTCACGTGGGAAGAGCCGAGAGTAAGCCCAGGCATCCCTGGCTTTACCTCTGAAGGTTGGGAGACACCAGCCTTTGGACCAGATTTCTCCCCAGGGTGGCACCGGGAGGGCTGAAGTGCATGAGCTATGGGGAGGCCCTGTGGGCTACTGAAGGCGTGGCCACTAAGTGTGGGCTCTGCTGGGGGATGCCCGGCTCACCTCCGCTGCTTTCATTGCCAGGCTCCTCCCTATAGGCTGGCACACGCATGCATCCAGTCCTGCGTTCCTGCACCAGTGCACGCAGGTCACACACCCCCCCCAGGTGCAGCGGGCCTGCAGGATGGAAGCTCTTGTTTCTCCCACGTCCCACCCTCCAACTAGAGTTTGCCTTGATGACTGGTGTTTGCATGGTGCTTTACAGTTCGTACATGGCCCTGTTTCTTCCTCAGTTCTCCTGGTGGCCTTGGGAATACAACGGTGACTCTCCCTCCTGACTATGTTCTGTGAACTTCATACTGTGATCAGGCTTTTCCGGGACGTTTAGTCAGTGAGAAAGGAATGTGGTGGTAAAAACTGATCAGCTAGCAAATTACTTTTTTATTAATCAGAAGTAGAAAACATTATGTCTTACATGTGATGAATAAGAGGAAAATTGATGTCGCCATTAAATATTTTGTGACTACAGGCAGCCACCCCCAGGCCGGGCCTGCCTTCTGTCTCCCCTGATGTGTGTCTGTCCACCGTGCCATGTGCCTAACAGAGGCCACGTGCTTCCACACAGAAGAGGACCTTTCCGCCTCTCGCGTGTACGCCCTGAGCGGTCTTGCCGAGGTCTGGGCAGGCAGTGCCAGAGAAGCAAGGATGGGCCGAGCCAGGAGGTGGAGCACAGGCAGGGCAGCCTGGTGACTCCATGGCGTCTCTGGGGGCCTCATCAGGGGGCAGGGGGCCTCACAGAGGCAGCTGTGTGACCCGGGAAAGGTCCTCACCTGGGGCCCTCTCTGGGACGGGGGTGGATGGCACGTATCCCCCCCACCCCAGGTCCACTTCGGTGTGTTCCCAAACGCGTGAGACCAGGAACATGAGATCCCCTAACGAACATGTCCCCCTCTAATGGGGTGGCTGCATAGCTTGTCGTCCACATGGGGGCCTTCGGCGGGTCCGAGACGGCGGTCCCGGGCCCAGTAGTGCTGCATACGCTCCTGGACACTGGTGGTCTGGGGCTGAAGCGGGACACCAGGGTCTGTCACCACAGGGCCACACAGCTGTGATGCAGTTCCTGTGGCTGTCAGTCACTACAGCTGGGGACAAAGCATCCAGACCCAGGGGTGTGAAAGCCAGCCGTTTATCACATGCACAGATCCCACGGGTCAGGACCATAGAAAGGGCTCCGTTCTTGCTAGGCCTCCGCTGGGCAGGGGGCTGGGGCGCCTGGGGGCTTCATGACTTCCTTACCGCCTGGCAGCCACTTCCAAAAACAAGGTCCCAAGAGAATGGGCTGGCGGCCATGTCCCCTTTATGACCTTGTCTCGGGACCCCCGGATTCAGGGGGAGGGGTTGCAGAGCCCAGCACTCAGTGGGATGCAGGTCAGACCAGCTGTAGGCAAAGCGGGCAGGTGACTACTGTGAGGGTCACCCCACCTCCCAGACCTCCCTCTGCCTCCAGGAACCTTCTTTTCTACTTTCTTTTTTTTTAATTTTTTTAAAAATATTTTATTTATTTATTTGGGAGAGAGAGAGAATGAGAGATAGCACGAGAGGGAAGAGGGTCAGAGGGAGAAGCAGACTCCCCGCTGAGCAGGGAGCCCGATGTGGGACTCGATCCCAGGACTCCAGGATCATGACCTGAGCCGAAGGCAGTCGCTTAACCAACTGAGCCCCCCAGGCGCCCTCTTTTCTACTTTCTGACCTTTTTTTCCAGCCAAACTGCCAGGTCTCAGAGGCTCCCATATAGATTCAGAGTTTCCAGACTGTAGGGACCGCCCTCCGGGATCTCGAGCTTTCTGCTAACTTGGCGGCACGCGGTCCCAGAGGAACCAGCTAACACCTGTCGAGAGCCTTGCTCTAGGGGCTTCTCCCTGGTATTTGGAAGGAGTCCGTGCGTCCTGCTAGCAGCACACGCCCTTCGCTTCATTCATCCTGTGCTTACTAAGCACCGACTGCATCCAGGGTGCCAGGCCCGTGTCAGCAGCCTCTGCCCCAGAGCGAATGTAGGGTGAAACATTGAGTGTGCGTCCTGTGCCGTCACCAGAGAGGACGGGGTGTGTGGTCTGCACCGGGCGCCTGTGTGCTCCATGGAGGCACCTCTTCAAGAGGAAAAGGTGCCTCGTGGTTTCTGCCCTGTGGGCCAGGCCACTTTTCTTTTCAAAAAGTGTTGAGGCACACACAGATACCCTCTTCTTCATCTGAGACCAGTGCCCCTCACAATCAGCAGTCGAAGGCACAAAGCAGTGGCTGCCCCAGAAGTTCCCGTGTCACGCCATCTCCTACCTGCCCTGTTTCTCCTTGTGAGACCCCCCCCCCCACGCCATGTGACTCTAGCTTTCATCAGAAGCCAGCACGCCTGGGCAGGAGGGATGGTTGCTGGGGGGGGCAGCCTCCCTGGGTACTCACCACGAGAGCAGCATGAACAGCTCAGATCTGGGCCTGGGGGGGCAGGGGCGCCCTGGGTGGGGGTCCTGAGTGGAGGCAGGCGGGCTGCCCAGGTGGAGGTGGGGTGTGCCCTGGGCGGGGGTCCCAGCACTCACTGGGAGCCGCATGAGCCCCCCCTCAATGGGACAGGCAGGGCAGCAGGCGTCTGTTGCCCCCAGTGGCAGCTCAGGGCATGGCAGGCAGGGGGGGGCATGGCAAGGGTGCAGTTCAGCCCCTTGGTCGGCCTGTGAGTGCGCCTCCCAGCTCTTGGTCGTTTTCCTGTTTTCTCTCAGAATCTTTTCTGTCCAGTGAATGCCGGTTTGACAAGACCAGAAAGGGGCAGCAGACACCCCAAGCAGTGTGTCCCAGGCCGGCAGGTGCAGGGAGGCCTTACCCCTGGCAGGGCGCTAACCCAGCGGCTTCCACAGGCTCCCAGGGGGGAGCCAGCAGTGTGTCACATGGTCAGGTGTGCCTTTATCCCAGTCAGAAAACGGGACATTTCACCAGGGAGGAGAGATGGGGGCGGATAAGCCCGTGGAAAGAGGGTCAGCACCGCGAGCCATCAGGGAACCCAAGTTAGACCCGTGATGTGGCATCAGCACAGGCCTGAAAACATGGCCATGTCAGATGCTGGTGAGGGTGCAGAAAAACCAGGTCACTCACTCGGCCGGTGGTAGTGTGAGTGGGTGTAGCCACTCTAGAAAACAGGTGGGCAGCTCCTAGAAAAGTAAACGTGAAACCACCGTACGACCCAGGGGCCGCACTCCTGGACAATTGCCCCGGAGAGATGGGGACACATTCACACAAAAACCTGTGCGTGAATGTTCACTGTAGAGCGCTAGGAGGTGTGCTATACGGTCTGTGCAGGGCAGTATTTTTCAGCCCAACAAGGAAAACGTGTTGTTACGCACAACAGCCTGGACGAGTCTCGGGCAATTGGAGAATGGAGAAGCGGCCATTCGCAGAGGGCTACAGCCTGTCTGTTGACACAGCGTTCTCGAAAAGACAGATGGGCGGTTGCCGGTCAAGGAGGGCTGGGTGTGGCCACAAAGGCACCATGAAGGTTCCTTAGCGGAGGGTGACTTGCATTGGTTTTTCAAGATGTTATCATTGGAGGAACGGTGTAAAAGATAAACAGGATCTCTGTGTGTTATTTCTACTGCTGTGTGTTATTTCTACTATTTTCTCAAAAAAAAAAGTTTAATTAAAAGAACCCAACAACAAAAAAATTAAAGCAAGCAGAATCTTTCTTAGCTCTTCATTAATATTCCTGCATTAATACAGATTAATCACTATGCATAAGTGCTATAGAGAGCAAGATTTAAGAAATTCAAGGATCATGGTGGAACTTTTGATAATTTATTTTTATGTGTTTATTTACTTAATTATTTTAGAAGGAGAGAGGGCATGAGTGGGAGGGGCAGATGGAGAGGGAGAGAGACCACACATCCTGCTTCAGCACCCCTGGCCCCCCAGCAGCCCTGGCCGCACCTCCAGCACAGCTCAAAACCTAGGGACAGCACCTGCGCTTTGGTTTAAGTGTCTGTGTGCAGGATGTTTGGGATGTCTGAGACTGCTCAGCGGTGAAGGGTCCCGTCCTACAGAGTCTGAGTGAGGTGCGGAAAGAGGCTGGTCCCCGCTGCATGTATCTGGGCCTGTCGCTGCAGAAGGAGCTGCTCCCATGGGGGCGCACCCAGCAGCACAGGGCCTGCTCCCAACCCCACCCCAGGTGAGGCTCACAGAGTTCCTGTAAGGGCCCGGGAGTGGCCAGCAGCCAACCCTGCCCTGCGCTCTGTCTACCTCAGAGTGGTCAATGGTCAGTAAGATCTATGTCACCGAATCAGTCTCCTTATTAAGAAATTATCGGGGCACCTGGGTGGTGCTTGGTAAGCCTCCAACTCTTGGTTTTGGCTCAGGTCGTGATCTCAGAGTCATGAGATCAAGCCCCACGTTGGGCTCTGCACTCAGCAGGGAGCCTGCTTGAGATTCTCCCTCTCCCTCTGCCCCTCGTGTCGACTTGAGCTACAGTCCAGGAAGAGCACCACTGGGGTAGCTGGGTGCCTGACCTTGTGAACAGATCATTGTAATTTGAATGCGTTAAGGGGGAAGCATCTGTGACAACTCTAACCCAGAGTGGTTTCACGGGTGCTGCTGGGGTCAGGACCGTCCAGCATGGGGTCCACCCAGAATCCTGCACTGTGTGGGTACCCTCCCTCTTCCCCTTTCCTCCTGGAAGTTTCCCCCAGCCCGATCGGATGCAGGTCTCTGTTAGTTCCCTGCTGGATGTGCCAGCTTATGCCAGGTGAGATGTGGACCGGTGTGTGCGCGTGTGAGCTCACAGGGACTTTCTTTTGTTAAGTTCTGTTTTGTTGTTTCACAGATTATAGGTTGCCAAGTAAGGAGAGAGCCCCCCAACTCCACTGAGCGATACACACGGTGGATCAACCAGCTAGCACCGGACCAGCTTCTTACTCAGGTACCCCTGCCCTAGTCTGGGAGCCCACCCAGGATGTCCTGAGAGCTGTTAGTCCCTGTGTTTGCCCGCCTCCTGGGTCTGGCCTGGGAAGGAGCCAGAACCAGCAGGCAGGTGCAGAAGGCCTGGCTGGAGGCTGGGGTGGGAAAGAGGTGTCCAGGAAAGGCCCAAGTTTCTGGCAGGACTGGGGGCCATCCCCAAGGCAGGCTGCCTTGGAAGCAGGCGGTATGAGGGAGGGAGCTGAGATGTGCCTTCTGGGTGGGACTGGCCCAGAAACCACCCGTGAGGCTGGTGTGACCTGGAGAGGAAGCGGGACTAGGGGCTCTGGTCCCGGCTTTAGGTTTGCCAGGGGCTGGAGTCCCTGGAGTTAGCTTCTGTAATTGAACCTGCTTCCCTGGCTTTTAAACTCGACACACACAAACACACACACACTCTATTCACATACACACAGACAAACAAACTCTATTCCCTCACACACACACACAAACACACAAACTCTGTTCCCACACACACGCACACAAGCTGTATTCCCTCACACATAAACACACACACACACACACAGAAAGTGCTTGTGCATTTGCATTTACTTGTCACATTTTGAGAAGATGAAGATTCCGTGAATGGCCTTTTATAGATACCAGTGGTTAAAGGCACAGAGAAGCTGATTTGTTTTCCAACTCCTCCTAAAGCTGAATAGGCAGGAGAGTAGCCAGCATGTGGGCCCTGCGTAGCCTGCACACTCCCCTCATGGGACGTGGAGCCTTGAGGTGGGAGCACATGGACGTTTGCGGGGTCAAGGGCAGGTGGTGCCGCTCCTTCCTGCCCCTGCCGGGCAGTGGCCAACAGAATCGCACCAGGTCCCTGCTGTCTCTAGTGGCTTCCCAGCTAGAGCAGAGAATGCCTGGGTCTGGTTGTGAGCATCATTACACGTGCGGAGAAGCACACAGTCTGTGGGCCTTGCTTCTCCAGGCCCTTCCCTCCGTAGAGGGCCTGTGCCGTTCACGATTCTGGGATGTGCTGCCTTTTTACAGACACTTTGTCAGGACACGCACTTGTGTTTGCTTTTTACGTTTTTCTTAACCAAGATCACAGCTGATTCAGTGAAGAGCTAGTAAGAGCTTTCATATTCCTAACTGGGGAATTAAAATTTCATAATCAGTGTGAAAGCTTCTGGCCTCCAGTTGGCCCAGAGGTCCGCCTGATTTGGGGCACCCAGAGGCTCCTTGGACAGGGCCAGGCTCAGCCCAGCACCAGCGAGGGTTAGGAAACACTCAGCTCTGTGAATATGGGAGCACTGGCAGCTGTGTGGAGTCGGACTTCTGCCTGTGTGTTTGGTTCTCTGGTAGAATGTGAGTCATGCAGGGACTATGTAACCAAACACTGAGGGTGTAATTTAAATGCAGTGGGCACTTTTAGAGCCAGAAATTCGAGTTCTGAGTCGAGAGCTAACAAGACTTAACTATTAAGCATCATAGAAATAATTAAGGCAGGGTCCTCTTAAATAGTGTTTTTCTTTATCAAGTTAGGAGAAATTAAAGTCTGAAGTTTTTCAAAATAAACTGAAAGAAGCTGGTGTTATTTAATCCACGTATCAGCTGCCACAGGGGCAGAAACCATCGCCGCTGTGTTAATAAGGTGAACAGACCACCAAGTGAGGTCTATGTTCATCCTATAAGCTGATCTCATTTGTGAAGTGGGGAGCAGCATGATTTGATATTTGGTGCCCACTTTATGCCTTTAGTGAGGCACTGTTCCCTAGGGACCTGCATCTCATGAATCAGGGCGACCAAAGAGGGGGCAAGGCCAGTCCCTCCCTGCCCGCCGCCCCAGGGTTCTGGCAGTGAGGGCTGGAGGGGAGCAGAGGCAGCTGGCCCCTCAGGTTGAGGGCTCGGGCTACACTCCTGATCAGCAGCAGGCCTGGTGAGGAGTGCTGGTGTCATGATCCCGCCAAGGCCCCCTCCTGGTCCACACTGCAGTGGGTGCCCAGGGCCAGTCACACCTGAGAGGCCAGTGGCCTCCATCAACTGCATTACCTCAGTTTTGTTCATAGAATTCAGGGGTTTAAGCACAAAATCCAGACTCATTCTTTGACCCACTCATTTGAAGATATTTGGCAACACAAAGTAAGGGTCACCTTTGGCCAATTTAGAAGACTGTGTGCATGTGAGCAGCATCTGCAGCAAGACTTTAGAACTTACCTGCTTGTGTAAAAAGACCAAGTTTCATACTCATCTACCTCAGCGTGTCTTTCCCTTGAAAATTTGTCCTTCAGAGCAATGATTTTATCCAATTCTAGCCAGCACTCATGACGCTTAAAAACTTACATAAAGTGAAACAGACTAGTCTGTACTGTTTTTCTTCATCTTCTCATTTAAAGGGAGCATCATAAAGCATGTCTGTAGTACAGATCCACATAAACTGACAATTTTCAGCATGGTAGAGAAGTGGTTCCTTAGCACATTTCTCTAAAACATACTATGGAGAGAGGAAACTTTTTATTAATGTCTGTTTCTCTATTAAACCCAGAAGCCACAGATCTTGGATTTAACATCAAAGTTTATTCTTGTTGCTATGTGGGTGTTAAAATGTCAGAATACTGGAACATTTGTTATCTGTCTAAAGATAGTCTTCCAACAAATTAGAAATAAGGATAATAAACCACAGGAATCTGGAAATGAGTCATACAAACTCTGCTCTTCTTCTCTGAGAAGAATTCGTATCACTTCCTGGTAAGATACCACTAATGAGGTCTGAATTTCATTAAATGCTTCTTTCTTCTTTTAACTCCAAGGCTTTTCCTTTCTGAATAAAAACTGAGCTCATTTTAAGTCTATAATCCATACTTTTTGTCTTTTTGAGAACCAAAAGCATCCAAAAGGATCCATCTGTAAGCGTATGTTCCTCCTGCGCCTTTCTCGAGGGCAGACTCTGCTCAGGACCAAGTGGCCAGAGCCCGTGGGCTTTGTTTCTGGGTGTATGTTCCCATAGGCACTGAAAGGCACTACACAGAATTTATTTTTGCAAAGTGCACTTTCCGTTGGTGGCAAAACAAGGGGAGAGACAAAAGCAAACCCCCAGGTCCCCAGAACAGCATCATGGGCCCGCAAGCCTCGCTTGGGAACCCCTTCTTTTTGACAAAGTTCTAAGAAACTGGATTATGTGATTTTTCAGTTGGTGATATATCAGAACCAGGAGACAAAATCAAAAGGGAATCAGAGTGACAGCCAGGAGCTTCTGGGACTTACTGCAGCAGCGCCTCCCCCCACCCCGTGCGCCACCCCCACCCCCTTACCTAAGTGCACCTCCCCCGTATGCGCGCCCCCTTACCTAAGTGCACCTCCCCTGTGCGCGCCCCCTTACCTAAGTGCACCTCCGCTGTGCGCGCTGCCC